CTCGTCCGGTTTTTTTTTTTCTCGCGTTACGAGATTTTGGCAGATACCTTGAAGTTTCTATTGGCGTTGGCGGGAAATTACCCATTTGAGCTTTCTTCCCTTGTACCACTATGACGGGCCCAGCTTTAGCGGGCGAATATGGGCATATACTCACTTGGGTTGCAGGTCCTGTTTTCTGAGGTTCTTTATCAATATGGTTGTAGGCAGGGGCTCTGCTGCCCGCAACAGCAACAGGAACAGAAACAGGAACAGGAACAGGAATCGGTACCTAAGTGGGATGTCCTACATTGGAGGTTGTCTGAACCTTTTTGCTTTGGCTTTTCTCATTTCGCCGTCGGGTTCTAGTACATATTACCGATGCTTTGTGTATATATGGCTTAAGCATTTTGAAATTTGTTACATGTGACTTGGTTCCACGTAGCAAGGTGCACATTCATTATCCCAGCATACCAGGTTCGTCCCAAAGTCCTATTTCCCCTTTTACAACTAACAGGCACAAGCTCCAAGTTCACAATCTACAGCCCCTCAAAACTATGACATCAACCCGAAGATCGGCGCCTATCGACCCAATGCAAGGCCCACAGGTGTCATTGAGACGATCAGCACGATGTAGTAGATTAGCTCCGATATCTTCCCAACACATCAGGACCCGTGATATCATTCAATCTGGAGTTCCCGACGATAATCATCTATAGAGAGAGAGGGAAAAAAAAAGAAAGAAAAAAAAAAAAAGTGCGTCACATTTCAGACTAGCACAGTATAGTTATTCATATTATTCCCACATGCATCTTATAACTTCTAATTACTGCATACCTTACGGTCTGTACTCCGTACGAAACTCGGTAATACAGAACATATGCAGCTAAAGAGGTGGATTCCGACTTCCCAACTTCTTTCGCCCAAATACCCCAAGTAACCAACCCCAAAAAAGGGACCCCGAGTCAAACTTGAGCGGACTCAAGTTGCAGCTATTCCCACTTGGCAAGGTCATAAAACTGTCTGCCAAGAACTGCACATAACTCAGTTACTTAGGCATCAACATTACAGCCTAGGCGAAGTGGATAAGTGGAATACCTCAATATGCACATGCCATGTAGGCGTATTGCAGCGGATGTAAGGCCCAGCCCTACACTATCCTTATACCATGCTACTGTGAAAGGGGTAAGGGGTAATTATGTTAAAGTGGATTTTTATTATCTCTCTCTGATTGCTCGCCTACCAGCGTTAAGTGGTTATATGCACCTGGTTTGAGTAGGAATGTCCCAATGTCTCAATATGATACCTACATAAATAGTTATACAATATATACCTTGGCATGATTTACCTAGTATTACCAGTGTATCTTTGCAGCAAACCTAAACGGAAAGAAAAAAAAAGAAAAAAAGCCAAAAAAAAAAAAACCCCTCGAACAGACCTTCGCAGAACCTGAATAATGCAACGTTGATGTGGGTACTTCGTACTGCCGTAGACCTCCAGCCCTACCAAACATGACGTACGCATCCGGAAAAACATGACATAAGCATAAATCACACAGCCACACACAGCCACACAAACCCGTAAGGCAGACCAAGTCGGCTACACTTGGCATTGGGTTCGGGACCTTCACTTTACCTGCAGCTTAACTCCAGAGATCCTTTGCAGCAGTCAACTGCGATCCACGACTCATTTCTATTCCATACCCACTTACAAACTACAACCCATACCAACTCCAAAGCCGATCCTCATCTCCGGGTCCCCCGAACCACACCGCCACCATGTCTTGGGCAGGTACGCCTCATCCCATCAAAAACCCTCGGACTCATGAACCGGTGCCAGTCTGAGCGAATCTAACTGCTTGGATGGATAGGGTTCAAGAAGAATGTCAACCGTGCGACGACACAGGTGATGATGAAGACGGGTGAGTTGGTCGAGTTCTACCCCGCAATGAATCAAAAGAGGGCGATCGCACACGATCCCGGATTAGCTATCCGCCACGCGCCACGATTTACTTGCCGCGCCATGTGGATGCGAATAAGTGAATAATATGCTGAGCTTGGTAATTGTATAGGACATGTCGAGAGAACGAATGATCGCGATTATGAGATCGAGGAACGGTATGGTTGTCCTTGCTGCTGCCTTATAGTTATATCGGGATGGGAGCTGATTTTGTTCTTTATAGTCGTTACCGGACTATGGAGACTGCCGCCAATCGGTTGCAAAAGGAGGCAAAGGGCTATCTGGATTCACTACGAGGTGGGTGACCTTTCGCTTTGCGGATTGTTGGATCTGGTGGCTGACTCTTTCCAGCCATGACGGCTTCCCAAATGCGCATTGCGGAGACCATTGATGCTTTCTACGGTGATGCGGGAACGAAAGATGGCGTGAGCCGGAGCTACAAGCAGGCCGTTGAGGATCTTGATGCCGAGACCATCAAAGCTCTGGATGGACCATACCGGTAGGAGATCCTTGTTTTCACTGACGAATACACATGAATAGCGCTGACAGGAGCCAAAGTACCACCGTCCTCGACCCCATCTCCCGATTCTGCGCCTACTTCCCCGACGTGAACGAATGCATCAAAAAACGCAACCACAAGCTACTAGACTACGACGCCATGCGCGCCAAGGTCAAGAAGCTAGCCGAGAAGCCCGACAAGGATGTCACCAAGCTGCCACGGACCGAGCGCGAAGCCGAGATGGCCAAGCAGGCTTACGAGCAACTGAACGAGCAGCTCTTCAACGAACTCCCTCAGCTGATCGACCTACGTGTGCCCTACCTCGACCCCAGTTTCGAAGCTCTTGTCAAGATCCAACTCCGCTTCTGTGCCGAGGCGTATTCCCGCATGGCGCAGGTGCAGCAGTATCTTGATGCCGAGACTCGCGACCAGTATGCTAAGGGTGATCTGGATAACCGGGTTGAGGAGGTGTTGCAGGAGATTCGCGATTTGAGCATAGCTGGAACCGTTTGAGCTGTTCTTTTAAATCGACTACTCTATTAGCATAATACCGGATGTTTCTTTGCTGCGCTGAGATCTGTGCAACAGACTCGTGCTTCTTTTTTTCCTTCTTTGCTCTGTCGATATCGACAGTTATTTCCTTGTTCATTTGCCTTCCCGGCGTTTTCTGTGTACATGTTTAATACATCCACGAGCTGGCTTTGACATTGCTCTTCATCACTTCCTTCAATTCCATGTCTTCGCCGCATTTAAACAACAATCATGATGGGAGGAGGGGGTATAATTTTTATTGCACTCCAACAAAATCCACACTATACACATCACAAACTCCCAAACATCAGACCTTCCCCGCAGGTCTGAAAAGCTCATCCCGAATAGTCTGCACCACAGGCGCCGCCGCAGCATGATAAGCCTTAAGCTCATTATCAGTAACAGTCCCGAGCACATACTTCGAAACAGCAGCGGTATCATGTGACGACGGGCGACCGATACCAAGACCAACGCGCAAGATCGATAGATCCGCCAATGGCCCAGTGACTTTCTTACTCGCCCCAGGAGAGCTGGGATACAACCCCTTCTTGCGCAGCGTCTCACAGATACTCATAAGGCCGCGGTGGCCGCGCAGACTAAACGTCTCAGGCCCGCCACGTATGACACGGACCTTTCCTTGCGCAATAGATAGTTCGTCGTGGAGGATTATGAGTGTTGTGGGGTATGTAGTTTGAGTAGGGAAGTTTGGGGTTGTTGAAGAAGAGGATGAATGAGTTGCGGCAACATTGGCGATCCTTTCAAGACGGCTTGCTCGCTCGGTTGCCCATTGTTCTAGTCGACGTACGAGTCTCGGGCCTGTTACGTTCATGAGGGAGGGACTTTGCCATGTTTCGTGGTAGATGCCTGTGTTTGGGAGGGTTGTTTCGAGGAGTGGTTTTAAGGCGTCGAGGAGGAGATGGCCGGCGCTGTGTCGGGTGTTGTGGTATGGGGCTGGATTGCCTATTGAGGCTATGAAGAGGAGGCGACGCGGGGAGTTACTCATATTTGGAGGGAGGAGAGGATCTGTGGTGTATGATGTACAAAGTAGAATATTCCTTTTTTTTTCTCTATTGTCATTGGTTCAGGTACGGGGAGATCGGAGATCGTCCCGTGACTTGGCTGATATCGGAGATAAAGCGATATCTAACTTCTTATCTCCATGTTTATACTAACTACAACATACCCGCGGACATCGACAATATACAGTTTTGGGGATTACATACATAGGTAGGACTTTAACATGATGTATTTTAGCCTTTTAGCTCTAATTACTACACTAGGTATGTTAAAAGAGAGAAAGGTCCTTTGATTTATATACAAAAAAGGCAATATCACGCTACTAGGGCTGGTCTTATTGTGGGGATTTATATAAAGTTAAGGTCATTACCAGCAATAACCCGGGTAGTGCAGTAGTTAAGAGCAATGTCAAACTTGCAAGGTTGCTCTTAGTGAGGCACAGGCCTGGGTTCGACTCCCCTTGGAACCAAAGTTCGCGGTCTGATGGTCATCTTGGCGATGTACTGCTGGGAATCACCTCTTCTTCCTTTTTTTCCCCCTTTCTTTTTTTTACAATATTTCAAACATGGTATAAGACAAGAAACGAGGAAAAGGAAACGCAGTCCTTGCAGGTCGTTTCCTAAGCAGGCACTCTCGCAGACTGTCAGGGCTCGCACCTGGGAAAATTACTTGGCTGGGGTAAAGCGATCAACACATGACACCAACTACCGGCAAGCTTAGCTATGCAACTTTGGTTTTTATATACTGCTCTCTTGTTCTCATAGCCTACATAAGAAGAGAAGGATTAAAACCATTGCACGGGCATTTGCCCAGATTTGAGGCAAAGTGCTATAGAGCAAGTTGATGCACCATGATCCCAATTGACTCGTTATATCCTTGCACCACTTTATCATTATGGAAATAACGCCTACGGGTATCATTAGTAACAGACCGACGAGTAGACGACTTGCATCATGAGATATTCCAACTGGTACTGATCAAATATGCCTGGGATGAGTTCGAGCCAATCCGGTTTCATTTAACAATACAATGTTGAATTGCAAAACTCCCAAAACTCGGGGTACCAGCCTGACAAATTCCAGTCAATAAGAGTCACTTTAAGGTCTGCGCCTCTATTATTGTGGATCTCTCCACCATTATGTCCTTCGGCTGTAGATCCCCGCGTAAAAACAGTTCGATGGTTCTTGAGAGTGCGATTGACCATTTCTTGCAATAAATGGATGAGGTGCGGTGATTGTATTTGACCTAGTCTTTCAAGTATTCCTTGATTCATCTGTTTTTGATCATTGAATGGCCCGGAAATATTTGGGTTTCTATATGGTGTCGACAAGACACCGTCGATGTAAGGCGTGCCATTCAAGTTTCTAAAGTAACCCGGTGGTGTGATTGTTCGTCGTTCGTCAACAACCTCTTTAATTCGCTCGCTGACCATCGTCTTCTCGGCTGGCGTGAGCCATGGTAATGACTTCTGCCAGTCACCCTCGGGGATGAAATCCATAACGATGTATCTTTTCTGGGTTTCTGGATCGACAAAGTCGGCGTAAACCTTTGGCATAGAAACCTTGCTGTTAGCTGCAACATATTTCATGTTCTCTGCCTCCATAGGCGGGATTTCATATTCGAAGATAGGCGCAGCAGATCAACTTGAATGAATCAAAAAGGATGCTAGCCCTGCCATGTCATGTTACGAGATATCGTTGGCAGCCTCGTTTACGTTCTGGTAGGGAGTAGGATGAAGAGCTTATGAATGTCTTTGTATGAATAACCAGTCCAGGAGCTGGCGCGGCCTCTATGGCTTGTGGAGTATAAATGCCCACAAAGGTTTGTAAAATACGTGAATTTTGTCCATTGCAATGAAACCAGACAAGCTTTTGGATATAACTCCCCTCGAACCCCATGCAAAATCGAGAATAACAACATAAAGAGACATTTACAGTTGGAAAAGAGTTCTCGTCTTCTCCATCCCACCCTTCCACTCCCACTCCTGACCACTGGCACGCTGGATGCCCTTATCAACACGACGTAGCTTCAAAGTGAAGCGAGGTCCTAGTTCCTGTAGACCAGTGCGGATACCCTCAACACCCAGCATTTCCTTGCCGTCAGCACCAACAACAGCCTTTTCCGTCTCACGCTTCTCACGGAAGACGTAGCGGTGACGACGGACGAAAATGTAATCACGCTGGTTGTGCAAAGTGACAACCTGTCGGCCCTCGAACTCCGGTTGAGGTGGGAAGAGTGTGCGGAACAAGTGGGCAGTCAGAAGACCGAGAGGAGTACGGAAGTTATTGAGGATCAGCTCGGGCCAGTGCTCGGTGGCTCGGCCGTGTCCTGGAAGGCGCTTTCCTTCGATCCAGTTGCTGATGGTGAAGTGGAAAGTCGGGCCGACTGGCAAGTGAACAATCGTTAGCCCAGAGGGACGCTTTTGGTCCTCATTCAACACGACGACCGTTGTGAAGTTACGGTTTGCGGCGAATTTGGAAATCTCGCGGATTGAGAATTTGTGCGAGTAGCGGTGGGCATTACGCCGGATGTACACGCTGTTCGGGAACATTTCGGTCAGGGTCTCGGCCTGGTTGTGAAGGGTAGAGTTGAGGCCGGTGGTGATAAGGATTTTCGGGGTGGGCGGGGGTCCCTCGGTGAAGAGTGTAGGGAATTTGGCGGCCAATGCTTCAGGAGCGAGGCTGAGGTTTGTGCTGCGTGTGGACTGGGTAGGACTTGTGGCACGCTCTGTCGCAGTTCGGAGAGAGCTCTTCTTCTGGCCGCGGCTGGCATCTTTGTCTTCATCCTTTTCCTCATCCTCATCTTCATCTCCACTGTTGTCTGATTCGAGCATACTGTCGACCGACTCATTGTCTGATTCCGGAGCCTCGCTGTCATCCTCGCCCTCTTCTAATGGCCGATTGAGCTCGTCTTCTTCTTCTTTCTTGGCGCGCTTGATGCGCTCAACGTCAATGCTCAATCCCAGACCAGTTTCTTCGGTGTCGTTGTCGGCTTCGTTCCATACACGTTTCCGCTCGAGGGTCAGAGGAATATTGCGGCGAAGTCGTTCTTCCTTCAACTTGGGGTTCTTGGCTTCCTCTTTCTTAAAAGCGTAGCGCTCCTCTCGGCGCGCAGCATCTTTGGCTCTCTTGCGCTTGACATGGTTCATCTTCCGGCGCAGCTTGTTGCCGGTTTTAATATCGCCCATGACGCCCGGAGGCGGTCCAGATCGGCCAGGGGCAACCATTTTTGAAGGCTGGGGGTAGAGTGCTGCTGTTGAAGGTCAATGGAAAATGTAAAGATCGCCGAGAAATAAATTATTTCGGACAATTATTTCCCCGGAGCGACAATATGCGATTCGATCTTGCGACTCTTAAAAACCTCCGTTTTAGAAAGAAAAATGAATAAAGAAGACTATTGGTCAGACCTAGGAGATATACAATTATGTTGCTTCTATGTACCATATTCCCTCCCTTTCCTAGCTACCACCGCTTTTATGAGGGCGATCAGAGTCTGACCTTTTCAGCACCAACACGTGACTGATCATCCTCAATGAGTGATTAACTACATACTCAGTCTACCTAGGCAGTTATCCATGGATGTAGTTAATTAAGTTCAATATTTAACTCAGTCCTCACCAGTACATACCCAAAGGATCAACTTTATTAGCCTTGTGGTCAATAAATGACCCACAGATATCCATCAAGGTACCGGGATTTAGGCAACTGATATAGTATATACTACTATAGTCCCTGTGCTTCATTGGTACAAGCTCAGAGAAAAAGTCAAAAGATGGGTGGTTATTAATTGACGCCTACCTAGTACTACCTAGTCAACAATTTGACAGTCCACGGGTCCACGGGTCTAGTTCCTCCAGGGTTTCACTGCTAGTTGCCAGGAAGCACTCGTCACGCTTCCTTCATCAACTCACTTTCTTTATTAGCTCACTTACTTTCTCTTTCTCCTGAAATACCTAGTCTTTCGGCCTTTGTAATCTATCAATTTCCCTTCTTACCTACCACTGTTTCATCAATACAAGATGGAGTTCGACGACCCTCATTTTCTTGTTGACCGTGAAGATACCACGGTCACTACCGAGGAGAAGAATGAAGCCGAAGATTGCCCCGCCTTGCCCGGCCGAGCCTGGGTCATCACCTAGAAACTTGAAGAAACAGCCCTATTTATCAACCAGGAAAACATCAGTTTTGGCCGCGACCCTGGATACACCGCAGGGAAATTCCTTTGCTATGGTGCCGATGACTCAAGCAAGAAGCCTGCGTTTATGCGCATCTATTCCCAAATCCCCTTGGATGGCACAGAATTTTCTAAGCCCGAGACTCGAGCAAAACAGGCCGTCCCGATGAAACCAATCGCTGAACTAGTAGCTTTGAAGAGACTGAAGAGGATGGGTTGGGATGTTGTCCCCGGCCTGCTCGGGTTTCAAGAGGAAACGCAAGGGCCCGATGGCTTTTTTCCGGGGGGCTTTATCACATTTGTTGTCTGGGAAAAGGTCGCCGGAGAACCCCTCGACTATGACGGGTTCTGGAATATGAACTACAATATGCGTGACTCTATTCGGTATATCCATCCAACCCTCTTTTTCTATTACTCGTGTCTGAAACCAACTTCAACGCACCAATTAGAAAGCTTTTACACTGTGGCATCAAGCCATGCATACAATTAACGTAGAAGCTCATTGTTGATACATCGACCGAAGAAATGTTTGTGATACTCAGTACACCCTGATTAAATAGCTTATGCTCTAGTCTTTTAGATACATATCGGGTGTTTCGCGAGCCACCTTCGTTGAGCCTACTGAAGATTAGTTGGATGCTAACTTTGCTTTGTTCGGACTCGCCAACCCACCAGAAAAGAATGAATGGTGGCTTGACACTAAATGATGGAACTGGTAGGATTGGATTCGAAGGTTACAAGATTGTGAATGGGAAACAATGCTCAATCGCTTTGTATATAAACCATATATATATATGATATACGGAACCTGCATGTAGCAAATATTTACCTGTGTTTCAACTAATTCGTTACAAGCGTAGTCAGCCGCTTATGCAGCCTTGTGATGTATTTTTGGGTGCTGTTTTCAGATATCTTTTTAGAATATACAAAGGCAACAAAAAAGGAATACTTGTGCATGAGACTTTTCTATGTACACGATAACCGGTGTTTACTAGTTAAAATTTTTTTCTGTGTATTCGAGCCCGTTATAACCTTGGAATCCACCATCCATGCGGGAAAGACATAAAACCGAAATATGCTGTACGTGCTGTAGTGCTGTTAAATTACAGTATCGACCCTTGATACAATATCTACTTGCTTCTCACTTATTACAGTAGCTTTTAGTGCTACAGCATCGTCGAAATTATGGGTTCAGGTGTAAGGCCTATCGACCGGGTAAGATACTATGACCGAGAGGGGAACACAATGCATTGTTCGAAGCATACTTACTAGAATTAAGATATATCCTAGGTGCTACGGACATACCTAGGCCTTGACAAGTTCCGTAGCGGTGACGCAGCACTAGACCCTTGGTTCGGTTTATAGTACTATAAATAGTACAAATAAACTACATAACCTTAATTTATAGTATAAAGTAAATCTTACAAAATGTTATTATTTGATTTACTCTTCTTAGGTAGTTTATGTATATTTATTACTATCTCTCAAACGCTTCCGTTCCTCATATATATAATAGCTATCGCTAAGCCTTAACAAATAAGTCCTGTAGCACTTAGGCAATTTACGTGGTTACGAAAATACATCGATTTAGTTCGAAACATCAACGTACTTCAATACCTAGGTCCTTGTCAATCAGTTGCATTACGGCCATCTCGGCGGGCCATACTCGAATAAATTCCTGGACTCGCCAGGGCCAGTCTTCATCCCACTGGAAAATAAGGGGATAAGATGCACAAAATAATTCCCAGAAGTCAGGAAACCAGCCAGAATTCTCCAATCGACCAGTACGACGTCAAATGATCGCCCCACTTGATCACCTGGGTGACTTGTATTCTCCACGACCATAATGCTCTTCTGCTGAGCGTCCCCTGCGTCAATGTGGGCCGGTGGCCTTGAAGGACGGGAGGGAGGTATTTTTTTCGTAAAAGAGAGCCTTGTAGTCTGGGTGATTATTGCATTCGACCAAGGCTCTATAATTACCGACAAGGCCCGCAACGAAGGCAGGTTCGCTAGAGAAGGGCCCTAGAAATTTCCCATCACCATGTTGCCTATGGAATAGGTAGCATTGTATGCCACTCCCGCCCAGGCCTCCGAAAAAGTCGGGCCATAGACACTCGGCTTTTCGCATTGTGTCGAATATTAGTTCGAGTTTTGCGATGATTTCATCCTTCTCACATTGCGCCAAAGATGGCTAAATGGAATTCAGCGGCACTCCAGGAACACGTTGCATGATCAAGAAAAGTTGTTTGGAATTATAGTACATCGCGTACAGTCGAGGGGCTGGAACTTCTGGGATGTGTCGTTCCAGATAAACCAAAGCTTAGCCTTCCCAATCGTCTACATCACCTCCGTATTTTACAACGATATCGACGTTCAATGCCACAATCTTGGAGGACGAGGTCTGTCACAGAAAATTGCTGCAAGCGCGGATTTCATCTGTTTTAGGTAGAGTAGACAGAGGCTGGGAGTTCTGAAAGGGGACAGCTACTGGTCTCCACATAGTGAACAGAGCAGGAGTCGATAGAGGTAATATTGAAATAAGGATGATTGGAAAGAAAATGAGCGGTGAAGGAAGATCAGTCACAGAAGTAGGTCTCACAAAAGATCTTACCTCGGTAGGTCTTCTCTTTCGTCTCTATCTTCCCCTAGCTCTTCCCACCTCCAGGTTCCTCAATCAAGTCATCTGCGAAAGAATAGAGTCACGAACACGATATAGAGTACAATTCATATAGTTAGTAGTGGCAGAAAACACGGCAGAATTTAGTGTCGATCCCTATTAGGAAGGCGGTACTAAAATTACAGACAGGACGTGCGAGGATCCAAAGGGCGCGGTTATCAATCCCCTGAATAAAAAGAAAAAGAAAAAGATTGACCCAATTAGTCGCGCTCTCTCGTTTCTATACCCCCTTGTCTTTTTGTCCTCTCGGTGGTGTCTGAGGGGCTGCATAGTGGATGACTCAATTGCCGCGCCTGCGATTTCCCCCCGCTCTTTTCTTTCCCCTCCGTCTTTCCTTCGGACTCAGTTTAGGACCTACACCCCTCCCCCGAAGACCCTCAAACGAAACGTCAAGATGGCTACCGTCAACACCAAGACCGGCCAGGCCGTCGATCGCACGGTGCTGGACTCCATGCTCCGCCGCCGCATGTTCTACACCCCCTCCTTCGAAATTTACGGGGGTGTGTCCGGCTTGTACGATTATGGCCCACCTGGAACCGCCCTGATCGCCAACATGACCGATCTGTGGCGCAAGCACTTCGTGCTCGAGGAGGACATGCTCGAGGTAGACACCACCATGCTGACCCCCCACGAGATTCTCAAGACCAGTGGACATGTGGACAAGTTCGCCGACTGGATGTGCAAGGACCCCAAGACTGGCGAGATCTTCCGTGCCGACCACTTGGTTGAGGAGGTGCTCGAGGCCCGCCTCAAGGGAGACAAGCAGGCGCGCGGCGAGAAAGTTGAGGTGGACGAGGAGAAGGAGGCCAAGAAGAAGAGAAAGGCCAAGGGCACCGAGGCCAAGAAGCTGGACGATGCCTTGGTCAAGGAGTACGAGGAGACCCTCGCACAGATTGACAACTTCGGTGGTCCCGAGCTGGAGCAGCTCATCAAGAAGCACGACATCCGCAACCCCGTCACCGGTGGCGAGGTGCTGCCTCCGGTCTCCTTCAACCTCATGTTCCAGACCTCCATTGGCCCCAGCGCCAACATGCCCGGATACCTGCGTCCAGAGACCGCCCAGGGTCAATTCCTGAACTTCGCTAAGCTCCTGGAGTTCAACCAGCAGTCGATGCCGTTCGCCTCTGCCTCCATTGGCAAGTCGTTCCGTAACGAGATTTCCCCCGTGCTGGTCTCCTACGTGTGCGCGAGTTCCTCATGGCTGAGATTGAGCACTACGTCGACCCAGAGGGTGGCAAGAAGCACGCTCGCTTCGATGAGGTCAAGGATACTGAGTTGACCTTGCTCGACCGTAACGTGCAGCTGTCTGGCAGCACCAAGCTGACCAAGATGACCATCGGCAAGGCCGTTGAGACTGGACTGGTCGACAACGAGACTCTGGGCTATTTCTTGGCCCGCATTCAGTCCTTCCTGTTGAAGCTGGGTGTTGACCCCACCAAGCTGCGCTTCCGTCAGCACATGGCCAATGAGATGGCTCACTACGCTACTGACTGCTGGGATGCCGAGTTGCAGACTAGCTACGGCTGGATCGAGTGTGTCGGTTGTGCTGACCGCTCCGCTTACGACCTGACTGTTCACAAGGATAAGACCGGTGCCCCTCTCGTGGTGCGCCAGGCCCGTGCTGAGCCTCTGCGTATCGAGGAGTACCAGATTGACATCGAGAAGAAGAAGTTCGGTCCCAAGTTCAAGAAGGACGCCAAGACCGTTGAGGCAGCTGTTGAAGCTCTGTCCCAGGAGCTGCGCGAGAAGCTGTCTCTTGACCTCGAGAAGGATGGCAAGATTGAGGTCGATGTTGAGGGTGTTGGATCTGGCAAGGTTGAGATCGAGAAGGACCTGATCAAGATTGAGAAGCGTACCCGTGTTGAGAATGTCCGCGAGTACACCCCCAACGTGATCGAGCCCTCCTTCGGTATTGGACGTATTCTGTACAGTATTATCGAGCACTCCTACTGGTCCCGCGCCGGTGATGAGACCCGTGGTGTAAGTTTCCCTTTCTGTGTTCTTTTGCCATGAGCGCTAGTACTGACGATACTCTCTATAGGTCCTTTCTTTCCCTCCTGCTGTTGCCCCCACAAAGGTCCTGCTGGTTCCCCTCTCCACCCACGCCTCCTTCAAGCCTCTGACCCAGCGTCTGACCTCGAAGCTGCGCAAGGCCGGTGTCTCCAACCGTGTCGATGACTCTTCCGCCAGTATCGGCAAGCGTTACTCTCGCAACGACGAGCTGGGCACACCCTTCGGTATCACTGTTGACTTCCAGTCCGTTCAGGACAACACCTTCACCCTGCGTGACCGCGATACCACCAAGCAGGTCCGTGCCAGCGAGGACGAGATTCTGCAGGCTGTCAAGTCGCTTGTTGAGGGCGACGAGACATGGGAGGATATCCGCAAGCGCCTGCCCGAGTTCACTTCCCAGGAAATCGAGGCTTAGATTGCTTAAGAGTGCATGCTAAAATATTATTTACTTTTTTTTTTTTATTTCATCTTCTTCCCATATAAATCAAAGCAGAGCAGTGTCATCTTTGTAGATCTATATAATATAGTTTTTTTTTTTTTGGTTCATCGCGCTAACCAGGCATGGCGTGCCCAGATCCGGACCACGCCAAGAATCCGGGGCACCTCCGTCATCCCATCTGTCCTCAAGGTTTACACTCTTACTTTGTCAACAACAATGGCGCCCACAGTACACTCCGCTAAATTGACACTCTCATGTCCGCTCTTCGCTGCAGACTTCGATCCTCGCAATAACGGTCGACTTCTAGTCGGCGGCGGAGGCGGCGAGGGGCGCAGCGGAGTTGGAAACAAGATCGCAAGTCCCACTATTTCAAGAAAACCCCCCTCTCAACGTGCAAATGCTAATCGGTGATTTCTATATAGTCACTGCTTGGCACATCGCATCGCAGCGAGATCACCGAAGCCGTTGAATTGAACCTATCGCGCGATGAAGACTCAGTAACCTCGCTGGCTGCGGCCCCGCTTGTTGGCGACGAGGCGGGCTCGCTTGTTGCCCTGGCCGGTATAAATAGCTCCGTCGAGCAGCAGAAAAAGAACAATAATCAACATCTTCGCGCATTCCGGTTTGAGGTGCCGCAGAAGGCCACCGCTGTTGCTGAAGGCAATGGGAAAAAGGACACCAAGTCTGAAGAAGAGGTCATTCCCGGAAAAGCTATAGCTTTGTCGCAAGCATCACTCTTCCGAACGAAGAATGGCCCAGGCTCTTCGGATACATACCAGCGCGTGACGAGACTCTCGCCGTGGCTGAAAGGGAAGGATGGCAATGAGAAACACATACGGATCGGCGCCGTTGCGACGGGTCTGGCACCATCTGGTGAGATTGTGTTCTTCCGCGCTACAGAGTCGCCAAGCGAGAAGGATGTCATCGGCCGCATTCAATTAAACGGCAATGAAGAGGCTGAGGACCTGGACTTTGTTAGTCTCGAACACGACTCGGAAAAGATGGACGATGCGCGCGGTCAGTTCCTTGTGGCATACACCAACGGCTCAGATATCATGGTTGGCGAGATCTCGTCCTCTAGCAGCCCCAACAGCTCCCCTGATGTCCGCTCCGTTTATACCATTCCTCTGCCCGCCAGCGGAGCCCGCACAGCACGACCCAAGTTCCGCGCGCTACGATTCCTCTCACCCAGAACCCTGCTCCTTCTCCTAAATGCCCCAAACCGTGGGGGTAGCGAGCTCGTCCTTCTTCAACTTCCCAGTGCCAAATCGAGCAAGTCCAAAATCCTACGACGTCGCAAGCTCCCTCGAACCTTGAAGATTGGGCTAGGACTTGATATCTGCCAACTCGGAACAAACCCGCAAGGCCAACAACAAACGGTCATCGCAGCCAGCGGCAGCGACAACTCCATCCCTCTATTCACCCTAGAATACGGACCAAACCGTGGTTATAGCAACTTCCGCCCCTACACAATCCTGCGCGACGTGCACCCCTTCTCAATGACAAAACTCACATTCTCAACCTTCATCGCGCCCCCACACCCCGTAACCCCAGACGTCGGCCCACAGAACATTAAGCTCGCTTCGGTCAGCATGGGCAACACAGTCGTCGTACACACATTCCCACTATCCCCCTTCCCAACCTCCTCCCGCACCCCACGTTACGTCCTCGTCACCCCAGGCCCCTCCGAGATCTGGGAACTAGTCTACAGCATCATCATCCTACTCTTCTCTATATTCGCAATCTGCGTTGCAATGCTCGCCTTTGCCGAGATTCGCGGCGGAACCCCTCCAATCCTCGGTGCCACAGAATGGCTCCCAGAGAGCATCCGCGGAGCCATCGCACGGGAATACGTCCTACCCCCACGGGATAAGCTGACGTATTTTGATACACTGCTTTCATCCCACGGAAGTGGCAGTGATACCAATATCCCAGTGGCGACCGTTATCTCCACAGACTCGCAGATCGAATCCCTCCGCGAAATCCTGGACCGCGTACACCGCGCCGGTGCCGCACCCGCCGATCTCGAAACCATCGCGCCGCAGTCCCTATCTGTCATTGTGCGGTGCAGTGCAGGACAGAATGCCGAGCAGAGCGTGATTATCGAGACTGCTCTGTCTGCGTCTGCGGATGAGTCCGAGCAATCCGAGGAGGAGAAGCTGCAAGCCTGGAAGGATCTTTCTGTGCCTGAGCAGAATATTTGGAAACAGAGACTTGTGGATGCAGGGCGTTGGACGGCTTCTGAGGGGGAGAGTGTTCTTATTGGGGTTTTGTTTAGTGAGGCTTGTGGGGAATTGGGTAGGGCTGTTAGGGAGGAGTTGCCTTGATTTTCTTTTGCTTGGAAGAGGTTTTGGGATTTATGTTTCTTTTG